ATGTGAATCAAAATATGAGAGGGGTGGAAACATTCTACTTCCGTTATAGTATGTCAAGTGAGAAGTAAATGCTGGAAGAAGGAATGAGAACAATTACCATGAGATAATAATTATCAGAATACTTTACTCACTTGGCCTTGTCAATTTATTCCATTCCATTCTTCGGATCAAAATAAGCGCTTCTGAATCGTAGTCATAGCTTGTAAAGGTACAGTAGACAGACAACAGGCAACTGTTGCGTTAGCATTTATGAATATGGCATTTTTGTGGCTGACAAAACCAAAAAATGGCATAAGCACTTATGTATCATCCTGCAAAAAACATACATGCACGAAGTGATCAAAAGTTACGTACGAGAAAGAAATCTGAAATAAAAACGTCTCACGTGATGGAACAGCTAAACAACAAGTTAGGAATAGATGGAAGATAGAAAAGAAGTGAGAGTAAGTGAGGGGGATTATTTGAAGTTCGCGAGAGATTTTAATGTAGCAAGTGGTAGCCAATCAGTTCAAGGCCGACAGTAGTAGTACAACAAGTAGACCATTTGCTTTCTATTTCGGAATCGAAATTGCAACACACGTAAGACGATAACAAAAACGAACCGTCATAGTTTAGATGAAATTAAAAAAAATCAACGTAAAGTTTGTTACAATTTGAAGTTCAACTAATTATGTATCAATGCGAAGTCAAAAATTGTCTGAAACATGACTGGAGTCATTTATTTTCAAATCAAGTTACGTAGAATACGTAAACGAATGCAAAGAAATGGAGTTTAAAAACTAGAAAATAAATGGTTTATATACTGAACATTTATAAACTTGAAAAGTTCATTTATAAATAAATGTAGATTTCAGGTGAGCGATATAACTACAATTTCAAATATACACTTCCTTTTCTTAATTTCATTTTAAAAATTTTTTAAAAATTTGAAAACTTTGTGAGTTATGTTTTCAACGCATGACACTTATCAAGACACACTTTTCCTAGTTGAAAAATACTAATATCGTAGTCTTCATTTCTTCTATTTACAGCAAAAGACGAACTTTCAAATATGAAGATAAGGAGTAATCAGTTAAAAACAAACTATTAACAGGTATTATTCGTATATGATAAAGCTGAAACCTAGAAGGAAACAAATCAAATGATAAATCTAAGTAATAAAAATTGAAGAGCAGTGAATGCTGATGAATGTGTGCGTGTCTTTCGAATGATGAAGAAGAAAATAGTTTACAATAATTGAGCAATACTCGAAGCAGCATTCCGATGATGAGAATACCAGCAATTCCAGCTATGGTTGGAATTCTTCCATGTTGTTGTAAACGATGGCAAGAAAAAGTATGCAAGACTAAAAAATAGAAACAGAAATTCAACAGCAATCCATTCACTTCTTCAAACGAAGTGAAAAGTATTCATAAAATTTGCTTTCAATTCTATACATCAAACTATAATTAAAAGCAATAACACATGTTCACATTTCGCCTCTTTCCATCAAAAATATCATATAAAATAGTAATATTTTAGGTTTGCAGTCCTGTCTAATTCATTCCTTCCATAAACTTTCATTAATTCCAAGTCATTACATTTTTTCAAATTTCAGCTCTTTTTGCTCTTCCGTTTCCCATCAAACTCTAATCTTCAAATTAATCTATGAAAGGTTTCCAAGAATGTTGTGTTATATTTTCACTGAATCCCATTTTATCTCATTTATGCCACTCATTTTCAAAATTCAAAAAACAGTGAGATTAATATGCAACCTAACTATGAGTGAAGGAATATTGCTGAAAACAGTTTTCTACTTTTTGCTGTATTTTGTCATTATAATTTCATATAACCAACAATCACAGTCTCAATTCCAAGCTATTATTACAAATAATACTCCTTTGCTTGCTATCTCTCACATTGCTTCATAAACACTATGCTACATGTAAAACTGCAACGATACACAAACATAACATCAAAAATTTGTAGATTTGTTATGCATCTTTTGTACACTTTGGTAACTTTAACTACAATATGCAAGGAGAGAATATAAAGTACAGAGCTGAGAAATCCATTTTTTCACTTCAACAAAAGTTGTTAGTAATAAATGTTATCAGCAAGTAAACCAAATATATTCTTTATCAAATAATTGTTGAGAAAATACTAAAACAAGCACTCTGAGGGCAATTTTCCAAGTCCGTGATTGAAATTCAGTCTAAACTTGCAAGAAAACAGCAGCAGTGCTTGACTTGACTTTGCCATCGCTTGTTCTGTCTCCAGAATACATCAGTCCTCTCCTTCCTTAAGAGGAAAAGCTTGAATGATGAGAAAACAAAAATAAAAATCCTCAAAATTGTAGCATTTTGTTGCTCAGTTTTTCATTTCAAACATTTTTGCTGCAAATCATTTGAAGTGAATTTACTGCGTGTTAATTAATTGATATTCTTAAGTTACTCTAGTGACCTCCACAAATTCTGAGTAATTCAAACTCTCAGTAGCATACAAAATGAGCGTGCTTGTGTGACTTAGCTTTACAGACCACTTCAGCTTTCTTCAAATTAATACACATTACAATTGATGAAAGTAATTCTGAATTTTTTTAAGTGTTTATTTCCGAGAAAGCACACAGTTTGCACGAAGACAACCAAGTTCGAATGACTTTCAATGATACAAAAACGAGGAGTACTTGCACGAACTGCATGATTTGCACAAGCAGGAATGCAAAAAAGTGACGCAAAAAATCAAGAAATGAATGCTAATTATGTGGTAACGAATGATCGACATCTGCACAACTTCACAAGCATGAATTGCTTTTTAGTTACTTTAAATGTACTGTACGACGTTTGTTTGCGGTGACGTGATTTGAATAGTATTACATTAGTTTGGCATTGTAGACAAAGTGCTCTTCACATATCTCAACTGGGAAAAAACGAGATGCAAACACAAGCAAGTTCTGATGCAAATAATATGATCAGTGATTATAATTAATAGCAATGAAATCACAATTAATATTAAATGCAGTTGCAGTTGCATTTGCCTATTTCCATTCGATTTTTTGATAAAAACAGGCAAATTCAACTTCAGTTTATGATAGAATAGATTAATATCTATTTCTGTTTCATTTATTACATGCTTATAACATAATTAATTAATGATCAAATATCGTCGCATCGTCTTGACTGACTATGTATGAGACCGATCCTGTAAGCATAAGTTGAGGCTTCAAAATCCGTCTTATGACAGTAGAAACTATGCAGGAACTCTTTGTTACGCTTAACCAAAATTTTATTTCTGCATTTCGTGAATTTGTCAGAATAAGCCTAACCGTAGGTAAAGGTCATCTAGCTTCTTAAGGTTAAAGGAATACAATTTGAAAAGCAACTGATTATCGAAGCAAGACCTTTCACACGGCTGAGAAACACTGTGTGAAAAATACAAATGTTATTTTAAAACAAAACTTTGAATATTTCACAGTAACAACAAAAGAGAACAGAAGCAGACAAAGCAACGCCAAATTATACAAGGAAAAATGATGCTAAGGTCAATAAATTTCACAAACTGATTCTTATCAATTCATTCATATTATACATATGAAATGTTCTGACATTCAGCAATGATTTTCTCAAACTTTCATTTCGTTAATTTCTTATGGCAAGCAGAGAAAAGGAATAATTTTAGCTACAACGAAGAGAGTCTATTAATCGTACGTATCTTACAGACAAATTACTAGCGTACCAGAGTACTTAGTAACTTTTCTAACAGTGAAGAACTCTGGTTGAGTTAAGGAATAGTCAGATCAGTTTGAAAAACAAAAAAGAAAATCTGAAAAAACGGTTGTACAAACTTGACTTTCATTACTCCTAACGTGTAACACGTAACACGTAACACGTAAGGAGTAATGAAAGTATAACATACAGCAGTGACTAAAACAAACCAGAAATGTAGAGTAGGTGAAAAGAAGGTAGCAAAAAAGCAGCAGTAACAGCACAAGTACTATGTTAAAAGAGGCCAATTTTCTATACACACATTCCAAGGCAGAGTAAATCCTTTATTTAGAACGACCTTGCGATGGTAAAATGAACTGAAATAATCAGAAAAAATTTCTAATGAATTCATTTCCCATATTAACTTCATCATTGCTCTCATCTATTTCAGCCTGCGTCTTCGATTCAGCAAAACACTCAACCTCACATCACTTGCACTGACTTTAATAAATCCTGCATAAGTAAACGAATTTTAATCTTTTTTTCTGTATACGCAAATATAAGTACATATTTATTACACGAAAATTCTACACAAACAAGTAATTGGAAACAAAATGTAGAAAAAACAATAATGCACCATAGATTATGCTCCGAATCATAACACTTGTATATAAAGGAGCAAGTGGAGAAGAATAACAGATGAGAAGTTCATCATACAAGCATAGCAACTGAGTGACTAACAATAATTATTGATAATCATTATCAATAATGATAATGATTCATCAACAGTAATGAATAATGCATAATAATCAGTACTGATTGCTATCAGTAACGATAGCGGAAAATGATGAAAAAGTAAACAATTTACTTCAGTAAACTAGTACAGTTTAAGAAACTGTTTCAACTTATGAAATTAATATCGTATCACATTAAATAGCATATTCGCTCCCGTGATATGAAAAATTTGAATATTTTCAAGTATTATTTTGAATATATAAATACAGTGATAAGCAGCAGATAAAAATTTTGAGCGTACTTCTGCTGACAAGCACAAATCTAACAGAAGCTTTTGAATTCCAAATGCTGAAAATATTAGAATCACAGAAGGATTTATTGTTCATTAATTCATAGCAATTTCGTAACTTCAGGAAGTCCCTCTCACTCATCGATAAAACTCTGAAAATGTATGAGACTTCATAAAATGGCTATTTTTCAAACTTTCTAAGGAATGAATAAAGAAAGAGTTATTTGCAAGATAAGCAGAAAAATTTTTGCACTGGCTCCTGTGAATTCTGAAATATCTTTCAAAGGAAAAAATCAAACTTTAAAAAGCTGGAAGACGTCTTCCGGGACAGCCTTTTTAGATATCAAATGTTCTTCAATTACTGATACAAGCAGTCTGAAAAATACTAATAAACACAACAGAAAAGGCAAAGACCTTTTTTGAAGAAATCTCTTGGAAAAATTGTTTCTTACCTAGTGAGATCAATATCAACAAAAACCATCCTTACAAAATCAGCACCTCCAAGGTCCGAATCACATAAGATACAAAGTCGACGAGAAATATACGATCCCACACTCGATACTCGAGCTATCTGAATAATATAAACGGTAAACCTAAAACTGATAAAGTTCCTTGACTAGAATTTAAATTTGCTCATCATTAATTACAGCCTAAACATGACGATCTCACTCACAGCAACTACTACTGAACCATTAATTAAAGGCTAAAAAAAATTTTTTACACATATTTCAACACAAATATGTAGTATATGATAAACGCCTACTTTTCAGAAAATCAAAATTTAAATATAAGTAAATATGACCTCTATGCCAGATGAACTTCGAAAACAAGTTGCGAATGACTCAAAATTTAGCAGTCTATGAGCATGAACAGATGATGAAGCAATTTTCAAAGACAGCTGATTTTTCAGAACTGCTTCTAACTTTGCAACAAAATAAGTATGTTCAGCACTTTCTTCCTCTTCCGTTTTACAAAATGACAACGCGACAGTCTTCATACGCTGCGAAATATTGTTTAAGTCAAGCTCCGAAACTAACATATTTTTTGGTACAAGATATGAAGCTCCACTGCTTAATATACGAAGAGGCCATTTATTTGTTTTTAATCCGAAAGATTTCTTGACAAATAAAGCAATTAAAGAAGAAATACTATGACCTGAAACTATTTGGACTTCATTCAGCAACTTTACAATTATTTTCTGAGCGAAATCAAAAATCGAAGGGCTTGGAATGCTTACTTATTCTAATCTCAAATACTGTCAAGTTATTGGATCTCCACTAAATCAACTAAAGCTGTTAACAGAATCACTCCCATGCAGTAGCCATCACTGATCAAAGGACTGAACTTGAAAAACTTTTTAGAGTGTAAGCCAAGAAACGTCGCTTATACTTGAAAATGGCGACTTTTCACCAACCTCATTTATAACTGCTTCATTTTCTGTGCTAACTAAACAAGGAAAATTGCAAATAAAAAGGGACAAAATGAAAATGTAACCAATTTGTGCAAAGTAACCTGTTAGGTACAGCACTGATTCGTTATGCTGACTAGGCTTAAACTGAGGATATTGTTCTTTTGATATATTCACACCATCAATAACAGCACCTCGCACGAAATACGGTGGAGAGATCTGGAACTGTTCCAAGTTATGCATGTGCAAAAAATAAAATTTTTTATATAACAGAAAGCTCGAATTTCTCACAAAATCATCCAAGAAAATAAACTAATTAAGAAGAAGGAAATCGAAATGATTATTTCATCAAAACGAACGATAAAATGAAATTTGATCACTTTACATCAACGCCTTGTATATTCTATTTATATGAGAATGAAGCCACAGGAAGGAATAAATTTCAACAGTAAGTAAAAAAATGCAAATTTATACATTCAAAATATTTTCTCCTAGTTTACCACGGAGCAACTTTTGTAGAAGGTGCTGCAAATTGGCTGGAAAACCAACTAGATGTGCATATGAAGTTACAGGGTCTACCTAAAATGCTATGATTCAAAGAGATTTAGGTTTACAGATAAAGAAATAATTAAAACCGAGTAACAGTTAATAAATCAATCAGCTTAATTGTACAAACCAATGCAAAGCCAACGAAGCAGTAAAGTAATCAAATACCTTTACAGCTGCAACCTTTTAATTAAGCAATTGTTATTTTATATTTGTAAAATCAACAAGCGTTGTTATAACTATGAGTCTTCCTTTACAGCTAGCAACAGCTCAACTCTCAAATGAGTATAAATCATGTAATTAAGTGGAATGAGAGCGAAAAATAATAATCTAATAGAGAAAGACCATGTTCTGATAAATTTAAACAGCCGTTAAATTAGTTGCAGCCAGCGTCTTTTGGGTTAAACTATGTTTCGACTAATATAATACATAAATAACGGTCTTGGGAGAGTATCATATTTTCCAATTGTTAATTGCATTGACTGTTCTTATTTCACTGAAGAAAAACAATAACACATACCTTTACCATACCAGCTTTTAAAAGCAGAAGCATGTGCTGTTTCTTTTGTTCATTATCAAATTCGTCGGAAACAGCATCGCCCCCGATCGGAGTATGTACAGATAAATCATTAGGTAATCTTAAAGCATCTAAAAGTCCTCCATTTTTTTCTAACATTCGTTGCCGCAATTCCCGATCACGTGACATCACCCCTCTTGTCTGGAAAAGTTTATTTTTTAGATAATTCAGAAGTAATAATAGCAAATGAACAAAAATTAATTGTTAGGAAAAATGGTTTTTCTGTGTCACAGTTTCATAACTTCATAAAAAGTAGGGTCGATCGCAAAAAACTTCATATGAAATTCACAGAAAATAGTGCACCTCAAACCATGAGTCACGCCACTTTGTGTATGATTTCCACCAGATGTGGTAATTCATTGCAACATTATTTACATCAATTTGGCATCCCCTAAAATGATAAAGCAGAAGATCACTCACATAAATCTGGTCTTAAAAGTTAAAAGTAAGACACAATTCAAGTAAACAAAAGTTGATCACAAAGTTGGGACTGAATATTCATGACTAAAATTACAAAGATAGGCTAATGAAGCCTATAATTTCAGCAGTTTTGGCGCAAACACAATCTGTCCATATTGAGTTCACAATCTTACCTATCTTTAAGCATCTTATCAAGCCCTTGCAAATCTTCAAAACGATGACGTAAATCCAATAATGGATCAACAACGTGCACAGCTTCTGCATCAACACAGAACCTACAGGCCAGATGAGTCATCCTTCTTAACGAAACAAAGTAACAAAGATGCATCCTAAACTGAGTGCTTTCTAAAATAGTGACCAAGGACCCTTTCAGTGATACTGCAAACCACCTTCATTTCACCGTAATGCTCTTCCACCAGTATTCAATAATAGATGAAACTGTGCATGTATGTGCAGATAGTATTGCATGCATATAAAATGTACGCAAAACCAGTAATTTATTCACATCAGGAATTAATAATCAGTTGAGAATCAAAAAAAAAAAAAGAATATAAGGCAATAAAGAATAATTTTTATTGCAAAAATAGGATTTATTTCTAAAGACAATATTCTATGTCTATTAAAAGTGGAAAATACAGATGGATCCTTGTTACATACAATGGATAAGGCTACATACAATAATTATTGAATAACTGCAAACCATGAAAAACAGGCATTATATCAAAATATTAGGTTTTTATAATGCTTGTTTATCATTCAAAAGCTTCCAGAACTGCAAAATAACCTAAAATAACGGTCATTCTGAAATTTCTGCTAAAAGATCGGCAATTGACATGTATAAATTTTTTAAACCTGTAGACAGAAAATTAAATTGCTTGTGAATGAAGAAACATTGAAGAAAAAACGTACAGTCAAGTCGAAAATACTGTGACTGTTCTGATTTGAGGTAAAGTGTATATAAATTATT